TTCTTCCAGGACTGCTTAGAGCCTCTCCAGGGCCTCCTGGCGTCCTTTCCTTGATGCAGTCAGACTCTGGAAGGTGACTGTGATCAGCAGCTCTGGTCATTGCACAGGACAGCAGAGGCCAGAGGCTCTCGAGGGGCACACACTTGTTTAGTTGCCCTAAACAGAAGCCACATGTTCCCAGATGAGTGTGAAACTAGAGTGTCTGTGGGTGCAGCAGGAAGGGCCTGTCCCCCATTCAGCTGTTCTCACTTTCTAGACTGGCAGAAGGCTGCAGAACTCCGCCATGGTGACACTTTATTCAAGAAGTGTGATTAAGTCCCCACTGTGCACCCAGTACTGTTCTAGGTGCTGAGTATTACATATCAGTGGAAACACGAAGCAATCATTGGGTGTGTATGGTTACATTGATTTCTCCCAGGAACCCAGTGGGAGTGGCTTATTACTATCATTATCATCCCACTTTAGAGCTGAGGACCCTGAGGTGACTTGCCTTAAGTCACAGGGGCAGGAAGTGTCAGAGCCATGTTGGAGACCCAGGTATTGTACTCCATACTTACAACCCTGAGTATGCTCTGCTGCCTGATCAGGAAGAGGAGCCAGGAGCCGATGAGGCCTGCCCCTGCTGCCCCCCTCTAGCCCCTGCTGCTTGGCTGCCCTGGAGGGTGGAGCTCTTAGGCAGGGCGCAGCCGCAGTGGTTCCCAGGAATGCAGGACTGTGGGCCCTACCTTTGGCAGCGTAACTGCCTGCAGTTCACCAAGCTTCCCTGTGGCTACCACCCCAGGCAGCCTCTCCAGCAACCACCCCCTGTCTGTGCCCCTTTTGGGCTCTGCACCTAGCTCCAACAAACCCCTGGGCAGGGAGAGGAGCCCTTTTTTCTTGTCCCTCCCCACACCCACTGGCACAGGAGAGGCTAATGATGGACATAGCTTCCGGACTCGGGCTTGAAACCCAGCTCTGCCACAGCAGCTCTGTGACCCTGGACAGTTCACTTAATCTCCCCAAGTCTTAGCTCCTGCACCTGTCAAATGGGGAGCAAGGAGCACTTGCCTTAACAGATGCTAGCCTGTACCCCGATTATCAACAATGGGCTGTTGGTACTGTCATTCTGTAATATTCACCCATGGTTTCCAATCCCGGACTTGCTACCCACTGTGTGACCTGGGGCAGTGGTCTCTCTCTCCGGGCCAGTTTCCCTGTGGTAAGAGCAGCGTGTTGACAGTCACCAGACACTGGGGCACCCATGGAGCATAGGGGAGGCCAGGAACTTGCTTCCCCTTTCCAGTCTGTATCAAGAAAGCCACATGGGCTTTTGAGAGTTGCATCTTGGTCCTAATCTGGTTGAGCCACGCTGATCAAAGGGTAGTTTCAGGGCTACTCTGGGAGTAAGGGGTGCCCCTCATGTTGCCCTTGACAACACCCCGAGGTGGTGGTCAGGCAGCCGACTCTGTGCTCCTGTGGGGTAGGCTGGGAGAGTCCTCATCTTACAGAGCCCCTCTCCGCCTCCACAGGACTGCTCCAGGCTTAGGGTTAGCTCACTGCAGGGAGGGAGAGGTTTTATCCAGAGCAGATTCTGGCCTGCGCCTATTAACCTGGTGATCAGTTCGGTTTCCCTGCCTGCACAGCAGGGGGAATGACCCACAGCAAGATTTTAGAGGGTTCAGAGAATTCATGGACAGTGTATAAAAGGTAGGTGTTTAATGAAGGTCGACCCATTCGCTCCCCCCCCCACGCCCCTTTCTATATGCCCACCACCCCAGCCACAGGGTCCTAGCAGAGACTGGCTTTGGGGGGCTTCAGTTTCTCCACTTGTAGGCCGCCTGGTGCCTGGAGGGCAGGGCGGGAGGGGGAGGAGCCACCGGGTGGGGCAGGCCAAATGGGGGTGGGAGGCCCTGCAGCTGGGGGCCCTTGCTCGCCCACAGGCAGCACATAATAGCAGCCATTATCTAAGGCCCAGCCCCCAGGGAGGGTGGGGGGGCAGCATGGCCCACCCCCAGGGTGACCCCCGCCCAGCCCTGCCACCTCGGTGGTCCCCGCAGGGCCCTCGCTCCCTCCATTCTAATTAGTTCCTTTCGCCACTGGAGCACGACCACCTTGGCGTTGCCTGCCCACCCACCCAAAGCCCCACAACTATCACCTCTGAGCCAGCCAGCAGAAAACTGAGCTGGGGATTCTGCCGCCGAGATCCCAGGGGAAGGGGCTCCATGCTGCACCCCGGGTACTGGGGTACAGGAAACTCCGTGGCTCCTGCCTATGGCGGCATTACCGCTGGTTAAGAAACTTGTTTGCACCCTCAGAGCACACGACAGCCGTCCTTCCGAGCGTCTCCGCCCTCCCCACCTTCCCGGTTGTCCTGAGCTGTAAATCCTGTGCTGGCCTCCGATGGTTATCATAGACCCAGGGTTCCAGGCCGGCTGTCCCCTCAGCCTCTGGAGAGCTCAACTCTGGTTCTCACCCGCCCCTCTTCACCCAGCCCAGGAACAAAGAGCAGAGCCGGAGCCCAGAATGGCCGCTGGCTGGGGGGGAGGGGGAGGGGTGGGGTGAAAGAGGACACTGAGGTTAGCCAAGGAGTGGGGTCACCATCGGGAGGGAAATTAGGGTGAGGCCAGCCTGAGGGTGGGGGTGCTGGGAGCTGTTGGCTTTGGGGGTAGCTCCTTCCTCCTTCCCCAGGGGTTGGGTTTCCATCAGAATGAACCACTGGGCAAATCCAAGGGCAGGAAGTGAGGGGCCATCTCTGGGGTGTGGGGTGCTGGAGTCCCGCCCTCTCATCATGGACCCTGTGGTTGGCCCCACCCCGGGAGGCAGGTTTCCCTTGGAGCCCTCTGCTTGTGGACTGAAGCAGTATGTCCTTCAGGTCTTTAGAACAAGGTGACCCAGGGCTTCTCCCTGGTCCCCCTCTGGCCTGGGGACAGGTGCCAAAAGTATGTTGCTTGGTCAGTGACACCAATGACAATCAGTGTCACTTTGAATTCTCCGTTTCAAACTGTGCTGCCCTCGTGGTCCCCTTCTCTGGAAGGGTGAGGGGGCGGGGTGTATGTGTGGAAGCTGCGGGAGGCCTGTGGACCTAGGCCAGCCAAGGACCAGGCCACCAGCCCTTCCTGGCTCCTGAATTCTTAATCAGCATAAATATTTACTTCCTTCCTCTCCTTCCAGGCTCCCAGCACAGAGGAGCTTCAGGGAGGTTGGAAGGGGCCTGTGTCTAAAAATAAACAGGTGGAGGGACAGGCAGACAGACAGACATAACTGGGGGGTGGGTCAGGCAGAGGGCAGCTCCTCCCCCCACTGGAAGGAGAGTGGAGGGGCCCACATCTGTCCATCACTGTCTCACTCACCTGCCCGGCTAGACCTGGAGCTCCTGGACAGGATAGCAGTCTGGTCCCAGTCCCCCGGCATCACTGGGAGCTCCTGGCCCACGCATGGGCTGTGTGGCAAACCCAACAGATCTGCAGGTACCCACCTGAGGGAGTTTAACAGGGACAAGTCAAATAACAAAACCTGGGTCCCTGGCCCCGTGCAGCCAGCTGTGCTCTGATAATGCACTTCTCCCTAGGCTCAGAGACTGATGTAGCTCTGTGCTGGTGGAGTCTTGGGTTGTGTCCCCGGAAGCCCAGGGGCCTAAGGGAAGGAGGGAACTGCCTTGTTTCCTGCGTGCTTGGAAGGTTCTTGGCAGAAGTGGAGCTTGTCTGGGGAGACAGACAGCCACGGCTTAGAACTGGGTGAAGACTGTTTAAAGTAGCTGAGAGGCTTGACCTGTAGAAAACCTGAGTGGGGACATGGGGCCGTCCTCCCCTGTTCTGTTCTGTGGAGAGAGCTCCAGGTAGCTCTGAGTGCATCTGGGCAAAACCTGCCCCCAGGGAAACGCAAGTGAAATATGCGAAGTCTTTTATCACCTAATGGTTAAAGAGAATTCTGAGTTGAACTGTGAAAACCTGGATTTCATGAAAGACAGGGAGTATCTCCGTGTTGGCTTGTTTAGCTGGTAGTTTTTTGGGGTATAATCATCTCATTTAACAAATGCAAGGACATGCATTGACTTTTTTGCCACATATGAAAAGACTGTTGCTGTAAGAAAACTTTGAATTTGGAATGAATTGTTGACCTTGCTCTTGGGTCATTTTTATGTGAAGAAAATTGCAACATTGAGCCATTCTAAGAAAATGGTGAAAATTCGAGCATGAGAACTCATAATAAGAGAATATCACCACCAGTAAAAAATGATACATGCATTTATTTTACTAACCATCAGAGCTGGTCCACTTCCCTCCAACCCCACCTGCCCCTGGCTGGCCGGGCTGGGCCACAGCCCCCAGCTGCCCCCTAGTGGTGGCCCAGAGCCCTCTGGCTCCTGGTTCCTACAGGCACCTCTCCTCCTGACCTCACCTGGGAGGCAAGGCCGCCTGTCTGCACCCCCATCCTTTGGGGTCAGGTTTTGCTCAGCTTTGCCCAGCAGGCTCTCGGCCTTATTCCCTCAGAGGTGACCTCAGATCCCCACTGGGCTCGGCACAAAGAGCGTTCAGCAGCCCGTAGCTGAGGACTACTCGTGGCCACCTTGGAGAACACACTACTCCTCTGGCCTAGTTTTGGGTCCTAAAGCTCAGACCAGGCATGTGTCCCAGGCATGACTTGCCACTCAGTCAGAAATGACCTTTGAAACTTGCCTGGTTATTTCCAAGGAGATCTGGCCTTAAATCGGGCAGCTCTACCACTTCCTAGCTCCGTGACCTGAGGCAAGATCTAAAACTCATTTCATGGCAAAATGTACTCTTTAGGCTTTGCCTTCCAGACAAAGATTTGTGGGACATGGTCATGGAAGCTCTTGAGTAGGTGGTTGGCTCTCTTCATGATACCTGTTGGCCAGGCCACTCAGAGGCTCTCCCTCCCTGGGGAGACAGCCTTCCTACTGCCTCACACCTGCTGCCTCCCTCTCCTGTGGGCTTTAATGAGTGCAGCCTGGGGAGGGTTTGGGGTCACAGTGTCACAACACAGCTCCCGTCCTCCCCTAGGTTCTTGCCTGACTACCAGCTTGGGATCTCCCCACCAGCTGCTGCCACTTCCACCCCCCGCCCATCACTATGCACTCCTTGGACGAGCCGCTTGACCTGAAGCTGAGCATCACCAAGCTCCGGGCGGCGAGAGAAAAGCGGGAGAGGACACTAAATGTGGTCCAGCACCGAGCTCTACACCGGGAGCTTGGCTTGGTGGACAGCAGTCCCTCCCCAGGCTCCCCACCCTCAGGTACCGTGCTGGGGCAGGGCAGTAGTCTCTGGGCTGTGATGGAGCCGTGGCAATAGGATGTCCAGTGTGTGTCCACCTGGACGTAGCTGCAGCCCCTCACAGCTTCCAGCTCAGAGTGCTCTCCACACTCTGGCCATTCATCCTCCCAGCAGTTTATGTTTGGACGTTACATTGTCCCCAGTAGGAGGGAAATGACCTGCCGGTTTATAGAGCTGAAATAGCAGGGCCTGGGTACAAATGAGGCCTCTGGGAGGATTTGAAGTGCCTGATGGGGGGGGGGGGGGCAGGGTTTACATGTAGTAACAAAAGGCCCTGAGAACCAACTCCTGGGCTTTGAGGCAGTGTGGGCAGCTAGCCAGGTCAGTAGAGATTGGGGACCTGGCCCAGCACGTGTTTCTCAGGACGCTTAGGGCTCAGGCCCTCTGCTCTGCCACCGGTGCCCCTGGAAATCAGATCTACCACTTCTGAGCTGGAGGGCTCTGGAAATAGCCCAGCCCAAACCTCTTGTTTTACTGAAAGGAGGAGCACTGAGGCAGAAGGGGCGTGAGGAAAGTTAAAAAGGTGGTCCCTACCCACCAATACGATGGGCAACTAGGGGCCCTGGCTTCCAGTTCCTGGTCAGTTACTTACCCTGTGTCCCAGATCATTCCATCTGTAAAGTGGGTACTTCCCACTTCCCATGTCAACCAATGGCAGAGGTCACATTTATTAGTTGTACAGGCTGTTGGCTCAGGTACTTGGGGTCCCTGGGTGGTCAGGGCTGTGGCGTCACTGGGGTCTGCTTCTAGGGTCATGGCTTGGGATTCAGAGGTAGGAGGGCCTGGCCACCAGGACTCCTGGCTCCAGCAGCCCTGGATTATGCCTCTCTTTTAGGCTTCCTGCTGAACCCCAAGTTCCCTGAGAAGGTAGAGGGACGCTTCTCAGCAGCCCCTCTGGTAGACCTCAGCTTGTCACCGTCATCAGGGCTGGACTCCCCCAACGGCAGCAGCTCTCTGTCCCCTGAGCGCCAGAGCAACGGTGACCTGTCTGCAGTCCACACCACTCCGGTAAGGAGGGAATGTGGCTCCTGGAGAGAAAGGTGTATTCGTTTTCTGGGGCTATTGTAACAAAGGGCCGCAAATTGGGTGTCTTAAAACAATAGGAATGTATTATTCCGTCACCATTCTGGAAGCCAAAGTCTGAAATCAAGGTGTTCGACAGGGTTGGTTCCTTCTGGAGGCCCCAGAGACGAATCCTCACTTCAGTCTCTGCCTGATGTCACAGGGCTTCCTTCCCTCTTGTGGGTCTCTGTGTCTGAATCTTCCTCTTACGAAGACTGGTCACGGGACTTAGGGCGCCCTTGTCTAGGAACCCCCCCCCCCCAAATTGCTCACAACTGCAAAGACCTTCCTTTCAAATAAGGTCGCACGCACAGGTACTGGATGTTAGGATTAGGATGTATCACTGCGGGGGACACAACTCAGCCTGCCACAGAAGGAACAGGGGGTCTAGGCCTGCTGGACCCACGGGGCACTGACCGGCTCTGCCCCTTGCCCTCTCCTCCCAGGATTTCCGGCCACTGCGCTATCTGGACAACGTCCCCAGCTCCTTCCAGTTCTTCCTGCCTCTGGGTTCTGGAGGCGCCCTGCACCTGCCTGCTTCCTCCTTCCTCACCACCCCCAAGGACAAGTGCCTCTCTCCAGAGCTACCCCTGCCAAAGCAGTTGGTTTGTCGCTGGGCCAAGGTGAGTGGGGGCCAGGAAGAGTGGGGCAGGGCTGGGGCCAGCGGCCTCACATGGGCTTAGAGCCTTCCCCGGCCCTGCAGTGTAACCAGCTCTTTGAGCTCCTGCAAGATTTGGTGGATCACGTCAATGACTACCACGTCAAGCCGGAGAAAGACGCCGGGTACTGTTGCCACTGGGAGGGCTGCGCGCGTCACGGCCGAGGTTTCAACGCCAGGTGAGGGAGGGTGAGAGCCCACAAGAGGGAGGGGGCACAGGGGACCATCGAGCTGAGCTGTCTTCGTGCCCTCCCTGGAGCAGGTACAAGATGCTCATCCATATCCGCACACATACCAATGAGAAGCCGCACCGCTGCCCTACCTGTAGCAAGAGCTTCTCCCGCCTAGAGAACCTGAAGATCCACAACAGGTCACACACAGGTAACATGTGGGGATGGAGCGAGGTAGCTGGGCAGGCTGGCCCTCCCCAGGTATCCAAGAGAGGAGGGATGTGTCCCCTTGTTGACTGGTCTGTTTCGGGTGCCACTTGCCAGGGGAAGCCTCTCCGGTGGGTCAGACCCCTAACACACAGGAGTGCAGACAGGCCCTCCCGCCATACTGGGCCTCGTTATGTTTGTAAGATTGACCAGGGCCACATGTGACTGCAGCCATGTGTCTGCTTTGCTTCTCACCACACCCCAGCACACACGAGAGCCAGCACTAGCCAACAGACACACATCTGATTTTAAAGTTCCCAATTGCCCCATTAAAATACAAAGCGATAAGTGAAATGAAGTGTAATCATATATTTTCTTGAACCCAGTATGTCCAAAGGGTTGTCTTTTCAAAATTGAAAAGGTATCACTGAGACACTGAAATTCTTTACTTCATATGAAGTCTGCAGAATCTGGTGTGCATGTTACACCAGATTTCCGTCTGGGCTGGCCATGCTTGAAGGCCCACAGTCTCATGGTTCCATTCTGGTCAGCACAGGAGGAGACGTTTAGTGAATCTGGAGCTGTTTTGCCCAGTAAGGGCTACACAAAGGGCAGGCGGCGTTCATGCAGTGCTCACTGTGGGCTTGCTCCTAGTAGGGTCTTTATGAAGTCTATAATCAGATTCATCAGTTCACTTGTTGAAGTGGGTGCTGTCATCTACAATTTGAAGCATAGCACTAAGGTCCAGGGCACACAGTCAGGCCACAGGGGTTCTGGGATTAACTAGGCTGGCTTCTCAGTGGCTGTGCTCCACTGCCCCGACCTGGGGTCAGATCTCATGCCAGGTGCTGAGGACAACCCCCCCCCACCCCCAAATGGGCCAGTCTGCCCTCATGGAGACCATGGTCTGAGGGCTGCTGAATAGATGGTAGATAGTAGACAGGGGCAGGACACTGGGCTCAGAGACCCCTCACACCAGCCCTGCCCGCAGGTGAGAAGCCCTATGTCTGTCCATATGAGGGCTGCAACAAGCGCTACTCCAACTCAAGTGACCGCTTCAAGCACACTCGAACCCACTACGTGGACAAGCCCTACTACTGCAAGATGCCCGGCTGCCACAAGCGCTACACGGACCCCAGCTCTCTGCGCAAGCACATCAAGGCCCACGGCCACTTTGTGTCCCATGAGCAGCAGGAACTCCTGCAACTGCGCCCTCCCCCCAAACCACCACTGCCTGCCCCGGACGGCAGCCCCTATGTCAGTGGGGCCCAGATCATCATCCCCAACCCAGCTGCCCTTTTTGGAGGCCCCAGCCTCCCTGGCTTGCCACTGCCCCTGGCCCCTGGCCCCCTTGACCTCAGTGCCCTGGCCTGTGGCAATGGTGGGGGCAGTGGGAGTGGGGCTGGCATGGGCCCTGGGCTGCCAGGCCCCGTCCTGCCCCTCAATCTGGCCAAGAACCCACTGCTGCCCTCACCCTTTGGTGCTGGTGGACTGGGCCTGCCTGTAGTCTCCCTCCTGGCTGGCTCCATGGGTAGCAAGGCTGATGGGGAGAAGGGGTGTGGGGTGGTGCCGGCCAGGGCCTTGGGCCTGGAGGGCCGAAAGACCCCTCTGGAGAGGACTGAGAGTAGTCGTTCCCGGCCCAGCCCTGAAGGACTTTCCCTGCTGCCAGGTACCGTGCTGGACCTGTCCACGGGCGTCAATTCGGTGGCCAACAGCTCAGAGGCACTGGCCCCTGGCTGGGTGGTCATCCCACCGGGCTCTGTGCTGCTCAAACCAGCCGTGGTGAACTGAACCCATCCCAGGGAGCGACCCGGAGCTCCTGGCCCTGCCCCGACGAACAGAAACTCTTCTGCGAAATAGCAATAATGTCCTCCTGCTCCCAAAGCCTGGTTGGCTGTGTTCCCCTGGCAGCCCCAGCCCCAGACAAGCTGGGCAGCGAGGATGGTGCTAGGTCACTGCTGGTGTCCCAGGCTCCCAGGGGAGGACCTGCCTGCAGGCCGGAGACACCTGAGCTCTTGCTGAGGCCCTGCTCCCCTCTGGCCCTGTCTTCCTGCCCTGCCCTCCACCCCGGTGCCTCCCTCAACCTAGTGGCCAACCTGGGCAGGTCACCCTCCTTCCCTTCCTTGTCTACTTGGCAGCCACGTCCCAGCAGTGGGAGCAGATGGGGTGGCATCTGCCTCTGCTGGCTCGGTGCTCCAACACCCCTTCGTGTGGTGGGCTATGACAAGGAGCCTGGGATTAAGACCCACCCCGCCTGCCCAGCCTTACCAGGCCCCGGCTCTGGGGGCTCCTTGGACCCCTTTCCCTCTGGCCCACCCTCCAGAGGGAAAGCAAGACAAAATAAGGCCCCTGCAAAGCCACAGGAAGAGCCACCATACCCTTATGACAAGGTGCCCCCTACTCAGAGGGAGGCCTGCTCTGCCCACTGCCCCTCCGCACCTACCTACCCATCTGATGCAGCCAGTACTGCCTGAGGGTCGGCCCCTTCTCCACACTGGACAGTGCTCTCCAAAGGGAGGGGACAGCTCACCACTCAGCTGCCCCTTTACCACTGGTGTCCCTCTACCTTTTGGGGAGCTATGAAGTATGGGAAGGGGAGGTGCCAGGACCTTGGGCCCACCTGGCTGCAGGGGCAGTGTTCCCCCCACCCTGCACTAGAGGCTGTAGAAGCCAGCAGGCTGGTAGGAGGTGGGAGGCTGGCTGGGACACCCCAGGTTGCTATGTAACTTTCATTCTGAGGCTGCCAAGTCATATCCAAAGCACAGGTGAGGGAGAGCTAGAGGCCAGGGCCCACCAGAGGCCATGGGAGGCCCAGCCCCTCCACCTGAGTGGGGGGAGTTGGTGGAAGGAGCCTAGACTTGTGACATACTGTTTCCTCTGGCTTTTCCCAACAAAGCCCCTCATCCTAGAGAGGCTTTTATTTTTACTCCCAGGGTCCAGAATAAGCCAAGGATGCTGATATTCCACGTACCTACTGTCCAACCCTGGGGAGTGGTCTTCCCCATCCCTGAGCCTTTGCTGTGCCCTGAGAGGTAGCCTGGTGCAGTCTGGGAGGCAGTGGCCCAGCCATCAGGAGCTGTGGCTCCTAGGCCTGCCCTGTCCTTGGCCTCAGTGAGCAAGCCTTCCCTTTCCCTGGCAGCAGAACAAGTGAGCTGCAGGACAGTAGTAGGGTCCTTAGCAACCCTGCATTTCCAGATTCCCCTTGCTGTTCCTCTGAGCAGCTCTGTTGACCCCTGCCCTTTCCTGGACTGCCCTTCTATCCCAGAGGGGTCACCCTGACCTAGCCTGCCCTAATAGGGCCCGGCAGTGCTGGCTTTGCCTCTCGAAGGGGCCATGAGCAAAGCAGGAGGGAGCTGGTCTCCTTTCTTCGGGCCCCATCCAGGACCCAGGCCTTTAAGTCCCCCACTAGGGGGAAAGGGGTTTGAGATTCAAGCCCAAGGAGCAGAGGAACAGGGCACTGGAAGGTGACATTAGCTCAGCATGTGACTCAGTGATAGACCAGGCTCAAGAGGGCTGGTGTACGTGTTGTTGTTGGTTTCTTGTTGCACATTCCAGGATATCAGTATTTTAACAGGTTCTAAGTGCCTTTCTATCATAGCATATGTTTTTCCTCCTCTTGGCTCCACTGCTGTTAGCATAGAGTAAAAAACAAAAAAAGAGATAAGCTAATGACTATAACAATATATTCCTCCATGTGAGAGGAAGTTTATAAAGAAACAATAAAAGCAAGTTGCAAAGATGGTTTCTGCCTTGGATGTGCCAGAAGCTGGGCCACCCAACAAGAAACCACGTCTGACTGCTCTGTGTCTGGCTCGGGGTCACCCGCCCCAGACTGCAGCACCCAGAGGCTCTGTTCTGGGGCTTCCTCCCAACCCTGGGGGGGCTACCACCTCTTAATTTGCTACTGGGAGGGGGAGGGGGAGAGGGATCAAGGGAGCAGATGTTGAAGGAACATGAGTGGAGTTCATAGACATGCTCAGGTCCTTGTCCTGTCAGAATCTCCTACCTGCTGTGACTTTGGTGAGTGGTTTAGCTCTCAGGAAGACCCAGCTTAATGGCCTCCATGCAATAAGAGGCTTCTCTTCCCCAGCCACACAAGGAGCATTCTGCCCAAATTACTGAGATGCCAGAGACAAACCCAGCTGTGGAGAGGCAGTATGATAGAGCTTGAGGTCCTGGTGCTCCGTCCCCCAGCTAGAAGGGAGGGGGTAGACCTGAACACAGTGATGTTACAGAATGAGCCTGGTGCTGGCACTGACAACAGGAGGGGCTGTGTCCCCTACCCTGACAGAAGGAGCCATGGGTAGGCAGGGCCAGGCAGGCTGGCTGGCTTCTCGCCAAACTTACCCACCCTGGCCCCCTACCCCACCTCTTGGCAGACCATAGCTGGCAGGAAGAACAGTCTGCCTCTTGGAATCTGGATGTGTGCACTTGAGAAACATGGAAAAGACATTTATTACCAAACTATAAATTAGAGGTGGTGGGCGGAGTGGGGCAGGAGGAGCCAAGTGGTCACGTCTGGGGCCTCTGCTCTTTCTCTCTGTCCTCCTGGGCCTGGATTCGGAGTTCCTCCTCAAGGCGCTCCTTTGCTCGGACCACCTGGGGAAGAAATTACAAACAGCTAGGTAGGGTGGCCTGCAAAAGACAGTCCAGTTCCAACTGTGTGTCCTAGACGGCAGTGGGGAGGTCTAGTGCCGGGACCAGAAGGATGGCCTGGGGGCTCCCCTGAGGCAAATCGAGCCCAGGGCACCTGTGGACTGTCACCTAGGATCTGAGATGCTTCCAGCATCCCAACAGCCAGGGGTCAGTGGTCCTCTTCTCTCAAGCCATGGCTGCTGGGAGGTCTGCTTTTTAGGCTGACACAGGGCCTAGGCTGACAGAGCCTGACAGCTGCGGCAGCCAGGAGGAGTGAGTTTAGGGGTCCTCTCTGAGGTTGGGCACCAGAGAAAGGCCCACACACCTTTCTACCTACCAAGATCTGAAGTGCCAGGAACATGGCTTCCTATCCTCCCAGCAGCAAAAACCACTCACCTTTGACTGCAGGTAGAAGGAGCCGCCCACAGATTTATCGTTCACCTTGAATAGGTGTTCATAATTCTGCAGAGGAGGGGAGATGATGAGAGGTGTGCAGTCTCTGAGTTACAGAGGCAGGGGAAGCTAGGATGACAAAGAAGGAAAACAAGGGCTCGACCCCTCTGCCCTGTGTGCCTGGAACTCTGCTGCAACCTCTAAGGGGCAGTGAGGGGACAGGTACCCACGGAGGGAGGGGTTTGGCTGCTATTACCAACTGCTCTATGCCTATGCTCCTGCCTGTCTGGCATCTATAAACCAACAAGATTGGCTCCCACAGGTTGGAGTCCCAGCTGGCTGCAGCCAAAGCCTCCACCCCACCACTTCTCTGGAGGGGCCAGGCCTCCTTTACTCTTCCCTATACTGCTGACCTGCCCCCCTACTTCTGGTCTGCTTGTCTCAGAACTAGCCCAGTAGCCTCACCTTCTGGATATCCTTGGGGTTCAGCTTGGAGACATTGAGGATCTGCTGTGCCTCCTGGAGGCTGAGGCCAGAGAGGTTAGAGGCAGCTGCAGACTGGTGTCCGGCACGTCCCCGGGCATCAGCTGCGGCCCGGCTGGCTGTGTGAATGTGCAGGTTAGTGCTCAGCCCCCAGCAGCCCAGAGCTCCCCTGGCCTTCCATGTGGGTGGCTCACCCCTGCCAGGTGGCATGGGAGAAGAGAAAGAGCAAAAATGGCCAGAGGGTACTTCTCCAGGAATGGTTTGTTTTGGGGGCAGGGGATGGGAGAATAGTGAAGTGAAGACAGATTTGCTACACTGGTGGGCAGGGTCTGGTCCCCAAACCTGGAGCCCAGTCCCCAGCCTAGACCACAACCTTACCCCATCCCTCTTTTTTCCACTTCCCCCTCATCCACACACATAGAAAGTTGGGGATCTTCAGGATATTAAGGGAAGCAGAGCAAAGCTGTGGGTAGGGGAAGGCAGCAAAGCCGTCCACCAGTTGCCTGGGACACCAAAGCAGGCTGCCTTTGGGGATCACTTCCCTTTCAGTGACCCTAGACTCGGAAGTCAGTACACTTTTTCTTAGAGCCAGAGTAAGTACTTTGGGCTTTGCAAGCCAATTAGTCTGTGCTATAAGTATTGGACTCTGCCTTAAAAGCAGCCAGCTCCTCCCCAGATGCTCATGTCAACCAGGACTCTCTTCTGTGGGAATGTCCCAGAGTCCAGCACCACCCCAGCACCGCCCCCACACCACGGGAACTGCCCTGGGCCACTCAAGCTGTCAGAACCCCAGCCCACAGTTCCTACATTCACAACCAGCGTGGGCCCTGGTCCCTGGTCCCTGGTCCCATAGCTAGGGGAGCTCCAAGGGGAAACGGGTGAGGCTTACCTGCAAACTCCTGTCGGAGGGCCCGGGCAAAGGCCCTGCCCACCACCTGTACCCCCATCACAATGATCTGGGCCAGGTACTTGGCCTGTGGGCAAAGCAGGCAACTGGTTAGCAGGCTGCAGCCCCTAGAGATAGTACCCTGGGAAGGGCTGCAGAGTGGTAAGGCCTCTGGAGAGTTGAGATAATAAAGCAGAGAGTAGCAGCCACAGGCTCCCTTCTCTAATGAACAGCTTCTGTGGGTGGCTTCAGCTGCTCCTGAGACAGCAGGTAAGTGGGTAAACCTGAATGAGTCCCCAGAGTCAGACAGGGGCCAAGGCTAATGGCTACAGGGCACAGAAGCCACTGGCTTCAGGAATAATACTATGGCCTGGAGCCAGGACTAGGGGCCGTCCCAGACTCTCTCCTCACTCAGTTTGCCATCAGAGCCAACGAGGACACTTTCTGTGCTTCTGAGATCAGCTGGTCCAACCTTCTTTCTACCGGTGAGGAGACTCAGAGTCACTCTAATTCCCCCAACACTATTCAATGCACTCCACTCAACACAACAAAATAGCAAAAACACACCTTCCACGAACGCCCACGAGGCAGGCACTTCCACAAACACATCAACGACCAGGCGGTGAAGAAGAGCAGGACCTGTCCCGCCACTGGCTCGTGCATGTGCCCACTCCCTGAGAGGCAGCAGTCAGACTGCGACGATCCACCAGCCCCCGCCCTTGAGCTCCCGCACCCACCAGGCCTCACGGGGAAATCGTCCACACATGGCAGTGCCACACAGCAGCCTCCTACTCCAAGACCATGTGGTTCCATGTACCAGAGAGGCAAGTGCGAAGTCTCATAAAATGTGTGTGACCAGAGGCGTGGAGAGGCGATGGAAGACAGTGGCATTTCTACTGGGATGGGTTTGGAAGGGCAGGTAGAATTATGACAGGAATACTGGGCTTTACTAAGCAGAGGGACCAGAGGAAGCCAAATCTGGGAGAAAGCAAAAGAAATGTCTGGGTGGCAGCCAGGACCTGCCTAGGTAAGGAACTTGCAGTTGGAGACCAGGAAGGAGGTCAAGATGGGCCAATGTGCAGATCTCGCTGTGAAGAGAGCTCAGGTGCAGTCAGCACGTATGAAAATGACCGTGTGAATGAGACGGTACAAACTCAGGTGCGCAGAGGACGCACGGGGCATGTCCAAGTGGTTTCCCTGGGTCTTCGTATTTTTCTGTCATTAGATTTCCTATCAGTCAACAAGTATCAACCAAGCCAGGATGTCAGGCACTACGCCAAAAACATTCTATTTATTGTGCCATTTAATACCAACAACTCAAGACACTGAAGTATAAACAACACAATGAAAAAAGTTTAAAAAAAGACATTGAGGCACAGAGGTGTTTAGTGACCAGCCCAGGGACTCAGCTAGCACTCGGGAAGGCGGGCAGGAGCCCCAGAACCAGCGCTGTAAGCCATGGTGTCCCCAAGCTGCCCACTTCACACAGGGTGCTGGGGTGTGCAGGGAGGGCGACAAAACAACCTAACAAGGAATAAGGATCCAACCCTGAAGCCAAACTGGGTCTCTTCAGATTCCAGTGGAACCCACACTGAGAACTGGCTTTGTCTGACCTCCAACAAACCTGCCCTTCCCTAGTGGGTAGAGCAGGACATAATTCTGGGCTATTGTTGGGAATTTCTGTAATAAATGGAAGTGGATTTGAACAAGTGTAGAAATTTCGTAAGTCCAGTATTTCACACCAGAAACCAAAGCTCAGAGAAGGGGACAGGGCTGTCTTGCAGGTGTAAAGACGAATGATGGACACACTGCTGACTGGGAAGCCTCACCTGACCCACCAACCCTGCCGAAAGCTACTTTCAAATGGGACAGGAGGCTTTGGGATAAACTGCAGGTCCTGTGTGACTGACAGAGGCTTACAGGCCACTAGGTGACTCCAGCGGGTTCCCTTGGCCTGGCACACCCTCAACTCTCAGAACATATCTTCTTCTGCTGCCACACACCTGAGTGCAACCACATCGTACTACCTTGTACTCACTGGTTTACCTCTCTGCACAGCATGGTAACTGTTGCTAAATAATGAACATTAAGAACAAGGCTGTAACTGGGCATCTCCCCCAACTATCCCCTGCAGGCTTCAAACCAAGTGGCATGGTGGGCCCATGGTTCCTGTTGCCAGAGTTCCATAGCTACAGGAAAGGCTGGGCTGGCCTACAAAGTTTCAGAGGCCACCCTGCTGGCCAAGGGAGCTGCCAATTGTGGCTACCAAGGTTCCTGTGAGCACCACCTCCCAGGGGAGGCAGTATGGTGTAGTGGTTACACAGGTAAGCTTTGGATCACCTGCATACAAATCTCAGCTGTGAGCCCTGGACAAGTTCTCCACCTCCCTGAGCCTTGGGTTCTCCCCTCGCCAACAATGGGGCTGCCCTAAGGATGGAATGAGGTAATGTTTGTAAGGTGCCTGGCACGGAGCCTGATGACACTGTAGGTGCTCAATAAATGTTGGTTTTCATTTATTACTATTCTTTGTTTCACAAAACTTGACAGTGACCAGTCACTATGGAGTAACAAAGCTCCTCCCAATAAAGCAGCTCATTTGATAGATTCTCTGATTACTGAGGGGAGGAGGCTGCAAAGAGCCGGGCCACATTCCCAGGGGTCTTAGAAGCAGTGTAAAAGAAAAGTGAGAATGCTGCCTTCGAACTGGGCTGGCACAACCTGGAATCCCAGCTTTGCTTCTAGTTAGCTGTATAGCCCTGAGCAAATTACTCAACCCCTCTGGATTTCAGTGCTCTGATCTGCAAAGTGGGGAGAACAATATCCTGCTCACAAGGGAACTGAAAGGCCCTCAGGAGGCAATGCACTTAAGAATGAGAGGACAGACAGACGGTGCCAGGTCCAGAGCAGCTCAGCAGCTGCCTTTGCTTCCCAACAAGATCCTATTTGGTGTTGAATGGTGTAGCCAAGCCTCTCACCCACCATTTCAGTACCTAGACACCTGCTGAGCACCAGTTGTGCATCAGTTATGCTCAGCACTGAGAATTCATGGGGAGCAGAGCACTGCCAGCTGTATCCACCACAGATGACAAAGACAGCCACTGGCTGAGGCCTCTCCCAGAAAGCTCTAAAACATTTCATGGTCCAGAGTGACACTTGGGCCTGAAGAACCTCCGCCAGAGCAACTGGCTGACACAGCATCCAACTTCAGGCCAAAATGACAGTCAAGAAGCAGAGATCAGAGCCACAGAACTCCAGGCCTGGGACCTACTGTGGACAGCACACATGCTTTCTCATCCGGGGAATACTGTGGCCTAATGCAGAGCCACAGTCCTGCAGCTGGTTCAAAGGAGGGCAGTAGTGTGGAGGTTGGGGAGCGCTTAGGAATGTGGTTTATCCGACACTGATTACATCAAGAAGGGAGCCTAGCTTTCAGACAACCCAATGTGCAATGCTTCCTTCAAGGCACAGTTCCTGACCCTCGGGCTGGTGGGCATAGACAGCCACTGAGATTCACCCCCCTTCTCTCATGCGTGCACAGAGATAGATAGGGGGCCTGTTCATCCAGGACCTCTGCAAACAGCTGCTTGTATCAAAACTAGGCAGGAGAGAGGTCAGGACCACAACTGTTGTATATGTCATGGCATGTGCAGGCCCAGCCTCTGGCTGACACAGCTGGTGCCTAATTCATATTTAAATGAATGTGACACTTAACCAAGTCGCTATCAGCTCTGCTGTGGCCAAACTGAAGTCTCACAATATCTAAGCACCCAGACAGAACTTCCAAATGCCCCCCACTTCCTCTTCTGAAGCACAGTTCTAGCCATCCGCCCACAATACACACAATTCTCTACCACCACAGCCTGAAAATTCAGTCCACTCCCCAGCCCTGTCCAGCTACAAATGGCTTATCTGGTTTCTTCTCCCCTCACCTCTCTCCACCATCTGTCTACTCCTAGATCAGCTTACCAACTTTTCTAAAAAAGATTTTACTTATTTACTTTCAGAGAGAGGGGAAGGGAGGGAGAGAGAGGGGGAGAAACACAGAAACATCTATGTGTGAGAGAAACATCAATCTGTTGCCTCTCGTACAACCTCACACTGGAGACCTGGCCTGCAACTCAGGCATTTCCTTGACTGGGAGTCAAACCGGTGACCTTTCGGTTTGCAGGCCGGTGCTCAATCCACTTAGCAACACCAGCCAGCGCTTCCCTACTTCTTTGCCTGAAATCTCTGCAGCTCTGAATTCACACATCATATAAGTCTCTCCTCAAAAGTGCACAATTCAGTCCTTTTTAAGTGTATTCACAGGGCTGTTCAACTATCACCACTACTTGCAGAACATTTTCATCATCCCCCCAAAAAAGAACTCCATACCCCTTAACCTTGAATATCCTCCCTTCTATTCTGATACTGTCAAAACCCAGCAGCCTTCAAGACTTAGTCATGTCACCCCCATCCCCCTGGGAAACCTTCCCAGACTCCTCCTATTTCTACCTTCCCATAGCACTCGTTCTTTTCCTAGCAATATACTGTCTTATTGTCTTAATTTACAAACTGACCTGCCTTCTTCTACAGGATACAACCTCCTCCAGAGCCACATTTTACTCAACCTTGAGGGCACCTCAGAGTTACATGTGGGAGTGGATGTGAAGGACCGAGTTAATGAGGGCTCATCCTAGGACCTCATCCACAACAAATGGCAGTGGCTATTACCAGGCAGAAATAATGTGGTGGGAAACATGGAGTTTCAAGATACAGGAGCTGGACTCCAGACGTCTCTGACACTTGTGACTTTAATGGGGACAGTGACAGCACTGACTTCATAAGAATTAAATAAAAGTCTACATAGAACTTAAGCTTTTACGTTACCCTTATCACTATCAGTTAAGAAGTGGCTTCTCAAACCCTGAAGCAATCACTTGGGGAACTTACATATACAGAACCTCTAGGGGTAGAGCTAAGAACACTGCACTCTCAAAGGGACCCCAAGTGTCATGACACAGCCAGTGTGCCCAGGTCTGTGGACTGGCTCTAGGTGTCAATCAATGTTACCGCAGAAACGCTCAGTTTTCAGTGTCGCAGGGCCTACCAGCCACTTTTGCCTCTTTACTGGGAAAAGCCTCAGAGCCCGTTTCGCCAGCTTTCGAATGGGGACAATAGGGCGACAACACCAATTAGCTCCGGGACACAGCAGAGGCTCGTGTGCCGGGCTACTGGACCTCAGGCTGTTCACGCACGGGCTGGCGCACATGGCGATCACATCTGCTGGGCATTTTCCTGCCAGTCAGGTCCGCCCTGCCTTCCAGCCAGTCGGCTCTCCCCCGTTCCCAGGTCGCCAGCGCCCGCCGAAGTACGCCCTCGACCCCGCTTCCCGCGGGGCACGTACGGGGAACGCGGCGCCTGCAGCCCGGCTGGAACTCGCCGCCCCCACCCCGGGCCCGAGATAGCCTCCCCTTCCCCGGGCAGCCCCGGATTCAGGCCTCACCATGGCGGCTGCTCTACCTCAGGGTAACCGGCTCCAGCACCGGGTCCCAAACCGGCTCCAGATCCCAAACCGGCTCCCCCCGCCCCGGGGCCCCGGCTCAAGGGCGGCCGACGGGTCAAAGATCAAGGGAAGCTGAAGAGAGCGCCTGCGTGCCGCCGCGCTGGGCATGCGCGTAGCCCCGACCCACAGGGGCGGAGTGTCGTCGGTTACGCATAAAAAAGGTGGGCGGAGTTGGGAGCGGGTCTGTTCTCCCACTCGGGCTCGGTAGATAGTTCGGGGCAGGTGATTTGCTGTTGCGGGAATCACGCTGGCCCTCTTGCTTCATTTGGTGCACCAGGTGACGCTGAATAAAACGGTCTTGTGTGGGGCAATTTCTTCCCTTGATTTTGCCAAAATGAGTAGAACTAAAATATGTGCAATAAGCATATAACACCTCACGAACAGAAGTGTGATAACAAATTCTCACAAATATTTAAGAAAAACTTCAAAACAGGCTTCATTCCAGGTTTCTACTTTCTACGAAGGAGAGCTCATTCCCTCTTCTTTCAAGTCTTTGCTCAAATGTCACCTCAGTGAGGGCCACCCTGACCCCCGCCAACTTTTAAAATTATTTTAATGTATTTATTATATATTTTTCTATTACCATTTAGTCCCCTTATAGTCTCCTCCTCCTACTTCCCAACGCTTTTAATAATGGATTTATTGAGATATAATTCACACACCATACGATTCATCCTTTTTAAGTGTACAATTCAGTGCTTTTGATAGGAGAACTCAAGAGTTAAATACTTTAGCTTCAGTTAGAGTCGATAGGCTTAAGTGAGTAATGCATATAGGAAGGTATTATTCCAGGAACTGGCATGTATGACCTAAGTGTGACTCCAGGAGGTGGTCAAGCAATTCAACCTTTGTGCTTCAGTATCTGTGCCATTGAGTTTTGAGGAGAGAACATCCTTGAAGCAGATAAAAAAGTGTTGATGAGCAGATAAATGCTATAAAATCACCTCTGGACTGCAACTCTTATCTGATTAACTTTTTCCCAAACCCCTCACCAACCCTTTCCTTCTCCCTATAAAAAGATTGGCTTGGGATGAGATGTTAAGCCAGTTTTTAGGGTACATAACCAGCCATCTTCTCAGATCACTGGCATCTGAATAAAGCACCCTTAAAGATCCAATCATTGTCTCTACTTACTGGTTCTGGTAGTGACAGGCAGCATGAACACTGACTTTTCCAGTTTCACTTTTTAGTATATTCAGAATTACTAGCTCCAGAATATTTTTACCACCACCCCACCAAAGAAAAACTCGCTACCCATTAGTCATCACCTCCCATTTTCCCCTCATGACCTTGTGACCAAGAATCCATTCTGTCTCTATGGATTTGTCTGTGTTGGAAGTTTCACGTAAATGGAAAAATAATATATGTTGCCTTTAGTGTCCGGCTTAAACCTCCACTTTTTAAAAAGATTTTATTCACTCATTTTTAGAGAGAGGGGAAGAGGAGAGGGAGAGAAATATCAATGTGTGGTTGCCTCTCGTGTGTCCCCGGCTGGGAACTGGCCTGCAACCCTGGCAATGTTCCCTGACTGGGAATCAAACTGCAGTTGTTTGGTTCACAAGCCAGTCCTCAATCCACTGAGTCACACCAGCCAGGGCTAAACCTCCACTCTTTAAAAATATTTTTATTGATTGATTTTAGAGAGAAAGGGAAAAAATTGATTTGTTGTTCCAGTTAGTTATGCATTCATTGGTTAATTCTTGAAAGTGTCCTGACCAGGAATAGAATCCAGAACCTTGGTGTATTGGGACAATGCTCTGATCAACTGAGCTACCAGGCCAGGGCTAAACCTCCATTCTCAATCCCCCTTTTTTCCAAAGCTGTTATCATCTTCTACCATATGTCATTTATTTATTTTTATGTTTATTGTTTATCATCTCTTTCCTCTCACTAGAATGTGGATTTCTGGTGGATACTTTTTATTTCTTTTCTTCACTCTTGGAGCTCCACACCTGAAGAGTGGCTGAGACATGAAAGGCAACTACCGAATGTTTGTTGAATGAATGAAAGTTGTGCTGCTTTGTGCTATTAAGGACCATGGCCCTTGTTTCCTTTCCTCCAACTCTCCACATTCTTTCTTCCCTCAGCACCCAGGACACCCTTCCTTTTGCCTGAACCGTTCCCACAGCTCTCTCTGTGGCTTCTCGGCTTTTTGGTCTTAGCTCCCAGCTTAAATGTCACCTTCTCAGACCATGAACACCCTATTCCCCCTGCTTCTCAGTCACTCCCATTCTCTTTTCTAAAGTGTTCATTTATTTATTTTTAGAGAGAGGGGAAGGGAAGGAGAAAGAAGAAAAGAAACATCAATGTGTGGTTGCCTCTCGTGTACCCCGTACTGGGGACCTGGCCCACAACCCAGGCATGTGCCCTGACTGGGGATCCAACCGGCAACCCTTTGGTTCACAGGCCCACTCTCAATCCACTGAGCTACACCAGCCAGGGCTAAGTTATCTTCTTTACAGTTCTATTTGTTTAGTTGCACAGTCTGGCTCCCCTGCATAATACAATATACTAAGTACCTTGAGAGGCCCATGTCAACCCCATCTATTTTATAGTATCTACCATCCAGAGCACTGCTGAATGCTTCTGTGTTAGATGAATGAATGAACACTGAGGAGGATGTAGCTGAGATGGCCTTGGAAGCAAAGTGAACCTAGGATCGGGGGAACCCTCAGTATAGACTTCTGTCCCCTTCCCTTCCCTGTGAGCCCAGAGACCACAGCAGCACAAGAGGTGGCCAGCATAGAAAAGTTTAATTGTTGAAAATATTCCAGGCACATGCGGGCCAGCCCCTGTAGGATTCATACCCCCCTGAATCAGGCGACCAGCCTGTAATGCTCCCTTCTCCTGACTTCAAGCCTGGGGAACAGGGTAACTGTTCCCAGACCCCTGACACTGATGCTACTCCAAATGGCCTGGCAGGGGGCGAGCCCCTAAGGCCTTTGGCCAGAGTTGGGATAGCAGGCAAGATGAGGTGGCATGTAATAACTGAAGGTGCTGGGTGAAGGCAGCTCAGGTCAGAGTAGGGAGACGGGGAGCCCAGGGCGTGCCCAGGGACATGCTACTGCCCCCCGCCTCACCCCACCCCCATGCTTCTGGCTCCACATGCTACCAGGCAGCTAAGGAGAAGTGGGCAGTACCAGAGAAAGCAGAGGTGCAGATAATCCACAGGTGTTTTAGCAGGGCCCAGAGGACATGGAAGTGCCCAAGGCCCAAGGAAAGCCAGGGCTTCTGGGATGAGTTTTGCCAGAGCCAAGACGTGCCTTCCAGTTTGAGGGTAAGATATGAGGTGTGCAGGGGCACTAGGTGGGTGGTTCTAGAAGGTGGCAACAGCAGGTGAGGCCAGAGGCGGCTTAGTGAGCAGACTAGTCCTGGGAAGATAAACCGAGAAGTGGGAGGGAGTTGAGAGGTCATGGGAAGGGAGGTGGCACATGCTGCAGGGGTGAGCGGGGGGGGATGGGATGCCAGACCCACTCACTCACTCACCCACTCGTCCTCGTCCACGCCTTCGAAGGAGTCCTGGGGGAGCGGGTCTTCCCGATTGCCCAGCTTTGCCACCATGGCATTCAGCAGCTGGCAGAGCAGACAGAAGAGGTGGGAAGGGAATACGACCTTTGACCCCAAGAATGACAGACCCCATTTTAAACCCTGTCAAGGTTGTGAAAGAGCCATTTTCATTAAAGCCCCAACAAAGTGGACAGTTTTCATTGAAAAAGACAGCTCCACAGAGATGGGGAGCCAGAGGCAGAGACTGTGACACACAGCCCTGGAGTCACAAGGCAGCTAGCTGTCCCTCGTGGGGACTGAACTTTGCCTCAGAGGCTTAAGTGTGCACCAAGGTCCTGAATGCACTTGGGTCCAAAACCTCTGGTTCTGGTTAGGCTGGGGCAGGCCAAGACGGGGCCTGTCTGCCGTTCCCGGGCTTTCCCAGTCCCGTGTCTCATGGAGGGCAGCGCTCAACTTCAGGGCTCTGGAAGGCCTTCCCGGCAAGCTCTTCAACTGAGAGGGGTATGACATTGGCTCCTATCCCAGTCTGGGTTGGGCCAGAGAACTGAAGAGCAACTGAGGGGACCCTGTGCCCTCCCCATGGCCAGCCCTGTCCCATGCCTACCTCTTCCTTCTTCTGCTGGTCTGATTTCTCTTCCAGGTAGAGTACTGAGGATGGAGCTCTCCGGGCAGGAGCTTCGCGGGGGGCCTGGCTCACTGCGGCGGAGCAAGGACCCGCATCAGGCATAAAAGTCCCTTTGGCGGGGGCTCTTTGCCCAGCCGTTTGGACCCAGCCACCTTGGGGATTCTGTGGCAGAGACTCCCAGAGGTGGCATTAATAGCTATTCAACCCTGTTCACAAGGCCTGCCCTGAACACCAGGCTGCATGTGTGTGTGAGTGAGTGTGTATTTAGGGTGGGGACTTGTAATGACAACACGGTCCCTGAACTCCATCCTCCAGTGGCTTAGAGACTGAGCCTGTAGATGCAGCCACCCCATCCTTAGGAGCTCTAGAAGTTTCTGCATACCAGCAGGGAGAGAGGATCTGTCTTCTGCCCCTTTCTTGAGTCCCCACCCGCTTCCTGCTTTCTACCCATCATAGCCCCTCTTCCTACCTGGGGTCATGCCAGGGGGCTGCAGGCTAAGAAGCCGGGGCTGTCTGTTAGCACCTCCCAGCCAGGCTTTGGCATTGAGCGCCGGCTCCCAGCTCACGGCTGTGTCCGGGAACACATCATCCTGGAAGAACTCTTTCTGCAGGGAGGGAGGAAGGGGGTGCCCTGAGGCAATGACCAGAGGTCCAGGGCGCACTGGCAAGCGTTGGGAGGGGGGCATGGAAAGACCCGAACCCCAGTCTGGAATTTCCATGAATTTCAGAATCTCAGCCAAGTAAGGGAACAGGTGCCCCCCCAAAAAGTGAGAGTGCAGTCTTAGGACAGTCAGGCCTCAAAGTCCCTGAGAGAGGCTGGGCCCCTATCCTCACCCTGACTCGGGGCAACCGGAAGGCAACAGGCTCCAGGGAGGTCTGGCGAAGCCGCAGGCATCGAGCAAACTCTACTTCACGCACGTCACACTCTGTCTTGGGCAGAAGGACGAAGCCCTGGGCGGGTAAGG